TACTGGCTCTGATTTCCTTTATTTTTATGTCGATTATATGCTCTTTTCCTTGTATTTTGCCTTATTTCAGGCATTTATTCAAATGGCTTGCATTCTTTCAGATTCAGAGTCAGTACAATTCTAAATTGGTCAGAATAACTCACCTTCCACTTTAGAAGCTTGAAGAGCTGAAAAAGTGGGAATTTGCAGCCGAATTCCATCGAAATCAGCTGATTCACCGCTGTCGCGTCACGTGCGGCGCGGCTGTGCCGCCCCGACAGTCCGTAATGATGAGTCGGGGCGGCATTCCCATAGAAACTTACACAACGTACCTCATGTGATCCCATGTGATAAGTTCCCCAGTGTATACCGATCGAAAATTTGGAATTTATGAGCTCATGCACAGCTACGGCTTCATTGGGATCGATGTGCTGCGATTTCATAATCCATCTGAAAGTGAACAAGTGTGTATGTAGGATGAAATGATTTTGTTACTCTTGGAAAAATAGGATTTTGCATGGACGCGGCTGACGCGCACCACTTTCCAGCCCCAAAGGCATAAGACCAAATAATAGCTGAATAGCAATGGTAGTCATTCATTCTCATTTAGTGAATCGAAATCATCGGGCTCCCCACTCAACTACCCCTAATCGGCAGACCTTTCTACCCAGGACGTCCCATGGGACGCAGCCTCTCCTCTGCCCCCAGACAGGAGCCGGACGTAAAAGTTTGGCTACCTTAGAGACCGAACAGCCCTAGCATTTATGAACGTATTCAACCCACATGGCTACGTATACAACATCAACTATAACAGCACCCATAGGGACCTGATCGGAAAGATGACAGCAATGGGAGCTGTCCTTACAGTAACACGAAAAGTAATAGCAATTACTACGCATTAACTTCAAAGGTTAAGCTAGTTTTCGCCCCTTTCATCCCATCCCCAGATGGGTGTGGGATGAAGATATCAGCTAGACCGTTCGGAAGTGCACCGTTGCCCCGCGGCTCAATGTATGAATACTCTCACGAGAGCAGCAACAAAGCGCTGTTCTGTGAACTTGCCGCTGGTGCCGAGTCAAACGAGCCGGGATACCACTTCTTGCATGCAAGGCACTTGGCAAGCCACATATGTACAGTCTCGTTTGCTACGGATGATGGGGCGTGTCAAGGGGGGTGGGGGAAGATGGGAAGCGGCGCCAGCCACTTTTTTTCTATTTCTTTTTTCTTACGGCAAGCAGCCATGACTGTAACATATCGTTCGTGTCTGTCTTTCCACCAGTTGTGGCCGCTTATCCGCTCTGGCAACTAGAGCATAATGGGCTGGCAGCGGGCTAGTTCCTGCCACACTGATAAGTCCCTTCATACGCAGCGAACATGACTGCACGAGAAACCAGTAAAGTGACCTTTTAATTATTCTTTCTTTTTTCAGCTCTCCTTTCTCATTTTAATTGTAGACGTCCAAAACTCACCGTGGTTTGTAAGCACCGATGGGGATTGCTGCAAGATTGAAAGGACCCAATTGGTCGCCAATCTTCTTGAATTCCTTATCACAAAAACCAGTATCACCAGAGTAGTAGAACCGACGATTCGGCGTCAAAACTGCCCATCCTGACCATAATCGCTTAACGGGGTTTTTGTAAAACCAATGAGAAACTGATATAAAATGTTACTATGGGAATGATCAGATAATAAATGCATTCCCAATTCCTGAAGCAAATTGGGCCATATTCAAGCGAAGAACTGTGCTGGATTCACCCCCCTCCCCAACTGAAACTTCTTTCCATGCACCGCATAAAAGTAGCGCGATGGCTAGAAGGCAGGCAGCAGTACGCACGTTCATTGCGTGGACAGCGACTCTGGCGTTGCCCACCTCGCATGGTGGGCTATATGGTCTCCCACCAAAGATGTTGCCCGGCCTCCTGGAATAGGTGTCCACTACTCTCAACCCCTAGACGTACCTTACATTAGATCCTGGAATCGGAGCATACCATGTGAAAGTTGCTAACCCCTCACAACTTCCCATCGCGGTCGCGTGCCAGAATCTCTCGATGGCACTCCTTCAGAGGGCTGTGGCGGAGTGTCGTGATGGTATTTAATATGCTCTTCAAGATGGTGGTGGAAATGTCCGATCAGAATTAAATAAAGTGTAACTTATAGCGCCTTGAAAGTCAAGGAAGAAAAGTGACTTTTCTTATTGGGCCCCCCTGTAGACTTCTATGGTCATCGTGGACATTATCCTCAAGAATGCCTAGAAGAACACTCTCAACTGACCTCATTTCTGTCGAATGCCCCTCGCTGTCCCCAGTGTTGGGCTGGCAAGCACCAAACAGTCGCTTCTGTCTCATTTACTCGGAACGTCTCGTTTTCACCCCTAAATACAAACATTGGTGATTAAAAAGTAGTACCGTGAAGGGATCGAGAAACACCAACATAGGTGAATAAAAGGCAGTATCGTGAAGGAGCAACCTACCATTCCATTTCAGTGACCTTTTTGGGATGCTCCGCAGTGTTTTCAATGCCGATAGTACTCATCCAATCCAACATTCCAAGCGGCACGAACCATCGCATAGATGCTCGTTCAAACTTAAAGAGATTTTTTGACAGTTTTTCACAGGTCGCAGAGTATGCAATGCTCAGAAGTAATTCCACGCTGATCGTGTGGGAGAGATTAGGGATTTAGCTGAGTATTCTTTACTTTATCAGCATTCCTCCTTCCAAGGCTGTCAAGAGGAGGGGAACGTTGGCGAACAGAGTAACCTTAAAAGCATAGACAAGGTACAGTACCCCGTAAGTGTTTCAAAAAATTACGAAAAAAACGCCGATCGCGTTTTTTTCGTTTTTCCGTTATAGAGCTGTTCCTGTTGAATTTTTGTATGGATACCCATATATGGCTAGAATCAGCTCGCGAGCTGTATCCGAGGGTATGCTCATATTCTACGACGTTGGGTTTTGGCCGGCGCCATTTGGCGCCACTTTGCGACACCTTAGCGCCACAACTTTTCTCAACAACATCTGTATAAACTTGCTTACTGGGGCTATTCAGTGCCCTGTTCACGAAAGTGACATTCGTTTCTAGCCGTGGCGCCATTTGGCGCCATTAGGTGCCGATTTGACGCCACTAGCGCCACATCTGGCGACACGACCTTTCCCAAAAAAAATCCGTATAAACTTGCATAATGGGGTTTCTCGGTGCCCTGATAACGAATGTAACATTCATTCCTAGCCATGGCGCCGTTCGGTGCCATTTGGTGCCAGGGCCCGCTGCATTTGGCTTCCATTACTTTTTTCACAAAATCTTTATGAACTCGCAGCCTGGTTTGTGGAATGGTCACGTGATCGTCATTTGCAGAGCATACATAAATCACGTGAGCTTGCGGCGCTGGCGGCGCTGTGCTCACCATAGCCGCTTGTTCACGTGATTACTGTATGTCTTTATAGTTCACATTCACGTGACCATTATAACACATACAGTCTGAGCGACAAGGCATCGCGACCACATTGGGCGCCCAGCGATAGCGCCAAATTGGCGCCATGACTGGAAATGCAAGCGACTTTTGCGCATCAGGCGAACCGAGAAACCCCATATGCAAGCTTTATAAGACTTTTCCAAAGGTCGCTGTCGCCAAAGTGGCGCTAGTGACCCGCCAAGATTTGGCACCTCATTGGCGCCAAATGCGCGCCCGTGGCCTAAAAGATGAATGTTCACTTCGTGAACAGGCACTGAATAGCCCCTGCTAAGCAATTTATACAGATGATTGTATGAAAAAGTCTGTGGCCGCTACGTTGCTTTCGCAAAGTGGCCCCAACGCGCCAATGGCGCCGGCCAAAACCCAACGTCGTAGAATATGAGCATACCCTCGGATACAGCTCGACGAGCTGATTCTAGCCATATATGGGTATCCATACAAAAATTCAACAGGAACAGCTCTATAACGGAAAAACGAAAAAAAACGCGATCGGACAGTTTTCCGAATCGTATATTTTGAAACTTACGGCTGGGTACTGTACTCTTCTGCCTCCCGCCCATTAACCCATACCCTTGCGCCCATCCTTGCAGGCCGGTCAAGAAGAGATACGCACCAGCAAGGAAGGTACTATACCACGGTACAGATGACTATACCCTTCCGACCAAGTCCTCAATTCCTTGTGTGCAGTATGCGTGCATGCTGCTTTCGATCTCCCGAAGAACACCAGGTTCCCTCCTTAAAAGACAGCCCCGCGGCCGAAGTAATACCATGCCGTCATCCCTTCTTGTGCAATGTAGTACCAAGCCCCCAGCTAGAGACTAGCACCCACTCTCCCGACCCACAGTGAGCGAGCAGCCGATTGTTACAGCCCGCTCAAAGTTTTAGTTCTAAACACCCGCTCCGGTAAGAGCCGCCACTTAGACCAGATTTAAACCCTGCGCGGAGAGCGACTCAGTTCGTCTTTGTTCGGACGGCGGACATTAATCGGACTGCATGTCCTTTTCGGTGACCGCGCTCGTGCCCATGAATGAATCTCCTTTATGACATTTTATTCATTGGGAGCACATACAGTCAACTGCAACCCATCTCACAAGGTAAAACGCGTAAAAATCACGAGTGATATAATCCTTGGGGTGCAAAAGCTCGACCTGCACTGAAAGCCGCACACTGCATGTAACCTCAAATTTGGACGCCAAGTTTTTAAAGTTTTCTTTTTTAATGGCTCTTCGCAGCGTGTTCTTGGTAGTTTAATCGTTATTCTTTTACTCTGCATTGGATTGTGTAGTCCACTAATGCGGATATGCTGCTGATAAAGGCGATTTGTGAGCCATGGGTTGCACCAGAGACCGCCAGGGCGCCGGAGTGATTTCATTTGTGTAGTTCTTGAGTGCTGTTCTTGGTTCTTTCCTTCGTTAGGGAATTACTTATCAGCTACTGTTTCATTATTGAGCTATCCTTGACACTTTAATAGCGGGAGCTGTCTTAAAGGGCCCACTTTTTCAGTCGCATCTGCATATCAAGACACGATTTTCTTTTGCAAATCTGCTTATTTACTCTACCTGTTGATCTTGGTGACAGCGTCCGAATCCAAGTGGTCATAATGGTCGTGCGAGATGACGCCAAAGTGAAGCTGAAAACGAGTGAATACTTTTAAAATTCAACATTTCACTCCCTCTTTTAGAGTAAACTGAGAGATGTTAGTCGAGCTACAGCAGAGCATTTATAAGCAGAGACACAAGCCATCTGGAAAGATCCTAGACTGGAGGGGCAGTTGTTTTCACAATCTTTATTTTTCCTCTACTCCTGTTGGTCTGGGAGACGAGTACCGTTGCAAAAAAACCCTAATTTCTAAGTGAGCGGAATACTGCGCCACCTCGATCCTTTTCAGCTTTAAGGAGAATTTTTCATATCTTGGAACCATTTTTTGCGTAAGAAGCGTGCGTACTACAACTTTGGGAATACATGTGGAATGCGTGGCGCACCCAAAAAGAGTTGACTGTCGACAAAAGCTTCACAATTGCAGACATATCATCCAATATTTTCTCCTCCAAAGCGTTTGCGTAGGAGAAGTTGAACTGTGGTAGGGTTGCAGTAGTTGTGTAGTGCTTACCAATAAAGGGTTTGATACAAGAGCTTCAAAAGCATATAAGCTCCAATTTGCAGTGGTATTGATTGAAATCGCAACATAAACCCCGCCCCTTCCTAACTGGAGGGTATTGGCGTGGCTGGACCACCAGTACTGTGACTGGAGCAAATCGACTTGAGAAAGCTCCCCCCCCCCCTTCAGAGGTGCGGCGTTTGTGTCGATGTCAAAATCCCACAGCGAACACCCAGTTGGAGGTAAAGAGCAACCAGAAGAGCCCAGAGTGACACTTTGCAGACAACTAGGGCGTTTGACTGGTTAGGCGTGTACGTGGTCGAGCGGCAAGGGAGGAATCGGGGAATGACATGCGGGTATCGCTGCACTCCAGCGCCGATTCCTCTGAGCAGAGGAAGCAGAGAAAGTGGCGTGCTACTGGAGTCGTGGCCCCATTCACTTCGCACAGGACCAGCATCCACGGAGATGAGCGAACAACTTGTTGATTATTCGTCACCGATTCCCGCCAGTAATGATCATTCCCTCCCACATATTATCTGCTTCTAATTTCGATTTCCATGAATCTTTTCAAAAGTGCTGTACCTGAGGTAAGTCTTCTATCTTCATGGGTGGTGGTCCTGTAACGTTTTGGACCTAACCATTGCAAAAAAGACGCTCGTTTCGACCAAATAGGATCTGTGATGAACCTAAAAATGCCCAACATAAAACACCTTGAATGAATATCCTGAAATATGGAGATCCCCTATGCAATACACTATGAGTTCGGAATTACAGTAATTCGAATGAAAATCTTACCGTACACCTTCCATTTGGACAAGAACAGTCGCATGTCCAAGCCATGTTGCGAACATTCGCTTATTCGACTCGGATTCAAATTTGGTGATGTTATGAACGTTTGTGATGTTCATGGACGGGAAGAGTTTGTCGAGAACCTAAACTAGTTAGGCGGTTGATATAGGCGTAGTGTGATACTATCGAAGACGAACTATAAAAACAATTCACTGCTTATCACCGCTTCATCATCTGGTATGTTGGACTCGTCAGTATCGAACAGCTTCCATTTAATGAGATTCCATGGGCCAGGTAATCCAGACCAATTTCCGAAGGACGACGGGTTTGCGAAGGTTTTGCCAGTTCGCACAGGTTTTGCAAACTTCAGTGGTGTTTCCGTGTACGTACCCCCGTCCGTAGACATCTGCAGTACGTGAGCAAGTAGTCAACTAATTTTGGTCTGACCAGTGGTTAAACCCGAATTTCGAAAGCTCTAGAAGGTTTTCCCGTTAGAGTCTAATACCACAGGTATTCACATGTATGAGCGTCGCAAGCACGGCTTTTCCTGTTTCAACAAGTCTACCCAATGAAAGGTTTTTGGTCCCCGAGTTCGAAAATAGTGGTTTGTGAGGCTCAAGTACTAATGTAAAGGTAGCAAGTGATTTAATAATGAAGAAAAAAAAGCAAAAAATCTCCCCGAAATGGCCCCACACAGAATCCCAGCGAATCGCGCTGTAATTAAGCGAAGAAGGTTGCGGTCGCACGGTTCTCTGATTGCGTGCCTTATCACCTCATTCAAGCTTTTAAATGGAAGTAGTGAAAGAAAGATTGGGCGTCGCGTGGCAGTGCGGGTCGCTTTACAGCCTTCAGTTCGCCAAGCGGGCAGCGCTTTCGCCACTTACTGTTTGCGCCGCGGTGACCGTCAAAAGCATATATCATCGATCAAGCCTGGTACATGCACCACCTTTGCGTAAAAGAAAATCTCCGAGCCATCTTCAAAAGCAAGCTCCGCGATCAAAATGGTGAGCAGTGGGACTCAAATGCTAATAACAATGCAATCGTAACAAACTCATCAGTGGGAAAAACCAAGAGAAAGCTTGTAAATGCCTTAAATACGCCGAACTGAGTCGAGCACAAGCAAAGAGGGCGTGCTTTGGTGAGTTTTGAGTCTCTTGGTATCTTCGTTGGTAACAGCTCGTGTTCCCTTACTGGGTGTGGTATGAAGTAGTGGGCTGAGTATTGCCTTTGCCGTGACCGGCTCGGGCGTCATACACGTATTATTTGAACAAGCCAAAAAGATGAGGCCCTTGTTCGCTGGATGAGGGGCGTCCCTGTTCAGTAGCTATATGCGCGCGCCGCCATCCCATCTCATCAGATAGTTGAAGCTGGTGAGCGCACAACAACTGGGCTGGAAAAACTAAGTTCATTTCACATGATCGTTAATTTATAGCTATGAATGCCCTGCGTAAGCGATAGCAGCCTCTAAACGAAATCTCTACCAGATAGGCACGATGTGAGAATATTATATTAGGTTGTCGCCGAACGTCTCAGCTTTGGGTGTTTCACTTTAAACGATCGTAACTTTTTTAATACTCATCGGATTTAATCGAAATAGGCACCATTCGAATCAGCACACTTTTGCCAATGTGATAGCAGTCGAAGAAATCCCATCAAAGTAAAAAAAACTGGGTGGTCGGGGCTTATGAACTCCACTAGGCTTTTTTGCCTTTCTGTTGATGAGAGTATTCCAGCAAGGGAGTTCTGAAAATGTTAGAAAAGGTGATAGTCGGTTGGCGAAAGGTCTGAAGAATATGGCGGTTGAGGTAGAACTTCAACCCCAATTCGTTCAATTTATGGATAGTGATTTGTGAAACATGTGGGCGGGCGTTGTCATGCAAAGGAATCGGACCCTTTCTTTTGATAAGTGTTGGCTGCATCTGACAAAATTTTCGGTACAATTCGTCGATTTCTTCACAGTAGGGTTCTGCTGTGATGGTTTGGCCTGGTGATAAAAAGTTATAGTGGATCACACCAGCCGATGACCAGAATCTTTTTTTCGTGAGGGTTCGGCTTTGAAAAATTACCTCGGGTGGTTTCTTACGAATCCAACCTCTGTCCCGAACGTTCTCCTTTTATAATACCGACCCATTTTTCATCACAGGTGACAATGCGGCCAAAAACAGGTCGTTTCTGCTGCGCAAAAGCAATGCAGAAGGAACCTCTAGACGTGCTGTTTCCTGCCACCTTCCCAATGCGTTCCAGACCATCTGCAACAGTGGATTTGCCAACGCCTAGCTCTTCTGCTATCTCTCGAACTGTTTGGGATGGGTCAGCCTCCAAAATCCCCCTAAAATCCTCGTCAGATATTGCTTTAGGTCGACCTGAGGTTCATCTTCAAGGCTGAAATCTCCAGAACGAAATTTGTTGAGCCATTGCCGCACAGTGCTTTCTCTAGCACTATTGGGCCCCCACACCTGGTTAATTTGTTGAGTTGTTTCGATAGCGGATTGCCCCAATTTATAGTCGAAGAAAAAAGTTTGTCCGAACGTGCTCTTCACATGCTTTGAAAAAGTGTTTAAAAAAAAGGGGGTTTATCCAAGCCTGGTGAACGGAATCTAATCAGATAGCGCAAGAAATTCTCTACAGGATGTGCTACTGAGAAGCAAGGCAGAATGAGTTTTTAATCAGCAGTGAATGTACAAAAAATAGGTGCACAAAACGCTGAGAACTTTCCGGACAACCTAATACCTCCTTGTTGCAGCGCACCCCTAAAATTCAGAGTTACTCCTTAGTTTCAGTAACCCGATACAATTCAACTTAATCACAAATTATACATATTTATGCCGTAAATGCAGAGGAGGCGAACTGGTGTGATAGTGTAAAGTACCAACCACGCGAGTCCGGACGCCGAATCCCAGGGCCATTGATCATGCCTACCAAGCCTTCTTTCTTCTGGGACGGTGAATCAGAATCATATTGGTCTGAGAAGATATGAACACAGATTTATACATCGGCTGGCTCCCGCAAGTCATTCTACAGGCCACACCGCACTCAATGAACCACTTCCATTCAGAATGGAAGTAATGCGAATGCGTGGCGCACCCCAAGAAGGATTAACCAACGGCGAAGACTTTAATTCGTATCTCCTGGCGTGATTAGGGCACTATGGATTGGGAACCCATAGGGTCGACCTTCCCTGCACTTTAGCTTCGAAATTGTAATGGTCAACTACTGCAAACATCGCTGGTTTCATAAAAGAGTCCAAGAGACTTTTCAATGGACACTTGACTATTTATACTTTGAGATTCTGACGAGAGGCCGAAAAGGAGACGCATCACTGAAAAAGGCAGACGGAAGCTCGTCTCCGCCCATGGGACAAGCGTGAAGAGCTTTTAATCGATATGGAGGTGACACCGTATCTAAGCGACCCACTTTTTAATTACACATTCCATACGGATAAACCTCATTCAGCTCAAGCCAGCAAAATCATTAACAGCAGACACCAGACCCTAAGAGAGGACAGAAGCCCTTACATTAGACGGTCACATGGGCAGACGGTCACTCCTTTCTCCATCTCTCCTCCAACTTCCACGAGAATCGCAATGGGCAATCGCATTGAAAAACTCAAAACTCAGGAATGAAAAAGTGTACGCAGCATGCCTCAGGACGTCTAAGTCACACCTCAAAGTAGTACGTTATGTTCTCATATCCCATGACCCTTATCATAAAAATCTCTTCTAAAGAGGACAGATGGGTCAGAGAACAGGTCGCGGGATGGTTATCGCGAAGGATTGATCGCGTACAAAAATGATGAAAGAGCAATCAGAAATTACAAGTGGATTCTTATAATGAAAGGTTTCAAGGAGTGAAATCCATTGGAACAGCCTTAATGCGACGGCTCATATTATACTCTATTTTAGTGGAACTCTCACTTTCCCGTAATAGCGGTTCCGTGTTCACAATGACGCAGGCGGTCTCTTTGGTTGAAAACGAAACGGATCACAAAGAGCTATCAAGCGACATAATCCCAACAAAAACGATACGCACCATGGAAACGACCAGGACAAACAGCATGACGCACCCGATCGCTACGGTCGACTGGCCACAGACGAACGAATAATGTCTACTCTGGCTAGCGTATGTTCCGCGTGGACTCGACAGGTGTTTATGTCCACACGATCGACCAGCGCAGATCTCGAATAAAGGCAAGCAGCAAACAAATTTGTTGTTCTCCGGGGATAGGTGACAGGAGTTTTTTCGATGTTGGTCTGTTCCTTTCGTAGGCAGGGGTTCCACTCCAGTCTAGACCCTCAAAGCAGAAACCCGTGTCGAAATGATGAGTTATGCGGCTCAGTGTCCAATGAAAAGGTAGTAAATGTTCCTACAGTGAGGAAAAAAAGAGAAAGAGAAACACGCCGGCGAAGAAGGGGCGTGGCCGGACGAGTTCCTATTTGGTGCAAGCTCTTTCTTCTTATCACCTCGCTCTCAATACTCGAAATGGAGAGAGCTAGTAGTGAAATGGCCGCACCATCACGTAGCCTTCAAAAATGAAAAAGGGGCATGGGCAGTGGTGGGACGATGGCTTCGTCGCGAGCGAGTCGCGCCTTCCTCTATGTCTTTTTGAGCTGCAAACTCCGTACGCCCTCCATCTTTGCAGGAAGAAGCTTACCATATCCAAAGAAAGCATGGGAACATCCAATAGACACGAGCTCTGCCTTTAAACCTGTTCATAATCCCTGCAAACGAAAGAGCGTGTGAACTGTCGGACAGTCCAACCAGGACATAAGCAGGGTGGTGGAGAGAGCGAGCGCCAGCGGGACAGCTTTTTCACCCTATTGTTGCGGGATCAGGATACACCAATGGGAAACGTGCAAGAATCCCGATAACCAGATCGCCCCCTTCCCGTGATCTCACTGGAGAGATGGTAGACACACCTAGTAAAGTAACTCTGATCCTTCGGTATCGTTTTACCCAAATAAACTCCTAAATCCTCATCGGACGATGCTGGGTCTCGCGAATTTCCGAATGTGCACCTCAGACAATTTGGTAGATTTTGAAATTCAAACTCATTCAGAGCAGGCCTTGCCATCGTTCTTGATGATCGCGTAGCGCAGCCAACCTACCGCAGATGAACTGACCGAAAAACTTGTCAAGCTCCCTGCATCAGCTGGTGGAAAAGGTCGCTGTGCTCCAATCACGCCCCTTCAGGTGCGCTATCATTTGCAGGGATTATTATCGCATTTCGGGCAGTGCTGGGAAAGGATTCATCTAAACGAACCCTTTCATGATCACGTGGATTACTTAGGCATTCCTTCGGTCCTGCTCAACACTGGTATTTCCAGGTGTTCTCAGCCGATCTCCGGAAGGATTACTGATACTGAAGCCGTGCAAGATCCTTTTGTTCAGCTAGTAGTTACTGCATTTGAAAAGTTAGCTCTTTCAGAACAGAACCTACGAGGTATCGTTGAAAAAGTCTTAACGCCTTGAGCACTGAAAATCACCAGATTCATTATTCTTGTCGAATTCAGCACTCATGTTTCTTCGTCATGCACAAAGTACAGGGTGTCTAACCACGAGTCACGCCTTAGGGATGCGCCATGAACCCAGCTGTAGTCGCCGAATGTTTTGATGCACTCTTGGTCACGAGCGCGGTGGTTAGACCGATAGTACTTGAGTAGTGTTCTCATATTCAATAAGCAAAGCAAAGTTATTAAGAAAAGACCGAAAAAATGAAGAAAGAAAACGAGTCAAGAGAAAAGAAAGAAAAAAAAAGAAGGCATTGAAGTGGGAACCAAGACACCTAGTGTTAATAAAGCAATAGAGATAGATCATCTCGGGGTTTGCGTGAGTTATTTGGAGCGAAAAGAGCCCCTTCCACCCAGCTTTTCATTGAAGCTTAGGACTGGAAATGAGGTCTCGACTGACAAGGCTCAAGAACGACGAACGTCCCACGGAGAACTCGGCAGTTTTTTCCGCCCTGAACCTTCCTGAAGCCGATTTTGTGGCTAGATTTATTGAAGCAGAGCGATACAGCTATCGATACTGTCTTCTTTCAATGAAATTTGCCAAAAAAATTATTGGACTATTCACAAATAACCTCGCGCAAAACTAAATGAACCTTCTCAGAAATCTATACAACCACATCGATAGAGTGAATGTCGCCAAACATCAGATTCAGGCCGATGCTAGCATATCAGCACACCAATGCGGCGCCCGCTGCTGAGGGAGTGACGAGTGTACGGCCCTCTCAATGGCAAATGTGCAAGAAATCCTTTTACCATTGCTTCAAAACTACGTGCTCACTTACATGGGCTGACTGAGAGCCACTGCGGCTCTGAACTGATGACGAGTGCGAGGCGCTTCCCAAAAGGCATCGCTCAAGGTCGACCACTTTAGGTAAAGAATCGAAGAAGGAAAAGTGCCTGCAAGTTCCCCTCACAAGAATTGTGACCACGTTAGAATCTTGCCTGAGCCACCACTCGGTTTTCCATCTCTTACAACTCCCTAAACGGACAATCACTGGCAAATGGCGCCGGAACCATCGTGTACTCTTAATCTTGAAATCGGATCTGCGTGCTTCAACGAAATGGCGGTGGCCTGCTTATGGAGATATGTTTTTAATTCGGCACAATTGTGGTCTCTGTCGAGCTCAGAACAAGATGACAGTTGTCTCAAACTGGAATATACCACGAGTAAGCCATTCTGTGCTATGCTCAAATGCCACGCCTACTCCGTCTCAGTGATAAAGGAGTGTACCTCCTGTTTGACCCCTTCAAACCATTACTTCTAATCCACCATGGCCTTTCAGATTTGTGCCAGATTCCCATAGGGACAAAAAGTTGCATGCACGTCACCTCTTTTAGGTGCATTAACCGAAGACTCATTCAATTAGTTCTGTTCTCAATGTAAACCAAATGCGCGGCGCATTCTGAACGAGAGAAATCGTTGTCATTCTCTCCGTGGGTCTAGATGCTATTTCGATTTGGTAATAAAATGATGAAGCACTCGATCTTCTACCCCCTGGAGTCCTGTCTAGGAGGATGAAAACACCGATTCGTGCACGGCCTGACCCCGGAAAGTCAATTTAGATAGCTTTGAAAATACCACTGCGCTCCTGAGGAGTACGTAGTACTTTCCAAAAGTGGACTGACTATCAGCAAAAGCTTTACCCTCTTGTCAGACCAGGTGGTGCTATCAAGAACCTCATTCCAGAAGCGCCAGGAATCTAACCATTGACCAAAAAGTCATCGCTAATAGATGTATCAAGGCTTGAGTTACGGTCAAAACTTCTCACGGAACCACTTTGTGCCATAAAAAACGTTGGCGAATGTGCAAGCGCTAGGGTCTGCTCCAACTCTACAGTAGGACAAATCTCCGTCGAATAGCGCGCACTGGCGCTGTCGGCTGCAGACAAGCCGGAGCTCTCTCCGTTTTTCATATTATTCGCTTTGAACCTTTTTTTATTCGTGCATTCTTCTTTCTCTCTCATGTTTTCGCTCTAACTTAATGAGAATCTTCCTCTCTCGGAATTTTGCTCAAATACAGCAAAAAAAACCCTGAATTTGTTTTTGCAGACTGGGAGGCATGTTTCGCGACAGTTTCCTTGCACCCTTCCAAGGCCGGTCGTCTGCCTGTTTAGTGTCTCGGAAGCTTGCTTTCAGAACCATCAGTTTCGAAATCCCTACAAGGCGATTGTTCGGCTCCACCCCTGCGTCGAAAAAAAAAAAAAAATACAGCAAAAACAGCACCCAAATCAGACCATTTCTGCTAGGTGAGCTCAGATGGTTCAATTGTTTTTGTGTAATTATACGTGCTGTGACCGGCCCATAGTTTCGGGAATAATTTCATCGAGAAAAAATCGCACAGACTGATGAGCTTCAGCAAACTTTGCGGTCTATTGGATGTGAAATCGCCTCTTACATAGAACTGAACGGTTTTTTTTCAGGCTCCCACTGACTAAAAATCATCCTTGTGCTCAGTTTGTATGATAAGATCGATCCAAAGAAGTTGACCATGGACTCTGATTTTGTTAAGGTTATCTTTTAAATATACGAATATATCCTTGCAAATAACCGAATTTCAAAGAAGCGCTCTTTCAGGACCTTGGTCTTGACTCTCTTGATCACGTTGAAATGGTCATGGCTATGGAAGAAGAATTTGGGTGAGATATTTTCTTATATGCTTTCTTCCAGTTATTCTTTGAAATTCTTTCTTATCACTACCCCAATTCCCTCAATTTTTTTCCGTTGAGAGTTCGCCTAGGAGGTCCGCCAGGGCCTCGATCACGACTATAACATTCTTTTCTGGAGACGTCCTCATCTGGCGTCAGTAAGCACCGACATGGCGCTTACACCTTTTTTCCATAAAAATTGTTACAACCTTTCACACCAAAGTTATTAGGCGTCGTGATCACTAATATTATATTTCTTCTTAACACGAGTGCCATCCGACTTTTGAGGCGTCGCAATCTAGTCTGGTTTACTACGAGCGATGAGGGAGGTTCTGGGCTGTCGAAGAGGGACATTTCACAGAAGGAGGCGAGGCTTTGCCAGTGGGCGTGGCTCCGTACACTAAGCTACTGCTTGAGGAGATGAAAAAGCCGAGAAAATATTGAAACTTGCAAAATTCCTTGAAAAGTGAGGATGATCAAAGGGCACAGCCTATCATTTCGGTACATAAACGCTTGTATCCTAGTAAGTTCGAAGTGTGAAGAATAAGGGTGGAAACGGACAACGTTGAACAAAGTTTTGAAACTTCAGAATATACCACAAATCCCTGAAAATTGGGAATGGAGTCATTATGGTGAACCGCTGTCAGTTATTCTATATCTAAGAAATAGCTAGGAAACAAAATTTGAAATTTGAAAGATGTGAAAATAACAATAAAATAATTTGTAAGATCGTTATTGCGATCAGAAACTGTGACGGGTAATAGGTTAGTAACAGCGCTACACACGATTGCTACAGTTGGTCAGATAACGAAAAAGTGAACCACGAGGGACATTATGAGCTAACAGTGTCTTATAACGGATGGCCGAGGAACGGCGTTTTGTCGACAAACGCGATTGTCCTCGGTGAGTTATTGTTCAACTGTGGTGGGTAAGATAGGTCCTTTTCTCAACTTGTCCCATCCACTTTCATTTGACTTAACAATACTTCAGAACTTAACAATATCCAGTGTGCAAATCAGCTGGACTTCTGCCTTTGGTAATCGCTGATGAAGACAGGAGCTTTACAGAGGGTATGCCTACTTACGAACCTTTGAATGCAGCCCTGGGGTAGATCGATTAGAGTCTGTAAGTTAATTTATTAAATATATAGATAGCAAAACTGCAACCTGCATTTCACAAGCAACTTATGAGCAGGTAAAGTTTGTAATGGTGCAGTAGGGTGGAGGCTTGGTGGTGAGCTGTGAAGCATAAGCGAGGAATCGCATACGTCGAATCGAGTCGTGGTGGTTCAGTGGTAAGTTCGACGTTCGACGACTCGATTCGACGTATGCCATTCCTCGCCTATGCATCACAGCTCCCCACCAAGCCTCCACCTTAACTGCACCATTACGAACTTTACCTGCTCATAAGTTGCTTGTGAAATGCAGGTTGCAGTTTTGCTAAAATGACAGGTGCAGTTTTGTATCTTCTATATTTGTAAATAACCTTATAGACTGTCAATTACCCAGATCTCCATTCAAAGTTCCACGGTAAGTTGGCGGACTTCCCTGGTTAGACATGTGAAGGAGCCGCAGGCTGCTTGAATCGAAACGATTTCAAAGGAGCATATGGTTAATATTAATGGTGGGCAGATAGGGCGCTGTGAGAGTGAGGGTCTTTCACTCGTGTGTTGGGAAAGTTAGTTGCTACGTAAGTTTCTTTAGTATCGCTGCTGAGGTTATTCGGCATACGTTAGACTAATTGATGTTGTATGGTGGGGGTTATGTGAAGCTGTGGTCAAAGATGTCCGCAAATTGATATCTTACGTGGGGTTCATATGTCACATCTACGACGCCAGCAACCATTCTGTGCCGCTTTTTATGGTCCTTGATTACTATTTAGTCTTACTAGTGCTATTCCAGGTATCATATAGTCTTGTTCGCTGCTCGAGGAGAGGCGAGACAGGAGGGATGCTTTGCACGGCGCAAACCCTCTTCTGCCTCTATTGCTAAACGAGCCTAATTGACCACAGGTGGTGGAAAAACGAACTGATGGCCACAACGATTGCCGCTACAGTCTTGCTGCACACGCTTCAACAATTGTGTGAAAACTTTAGTTTGCTTGCCTCGCAGGCCCCTCTCCATTGTAAACAACGACTGTCTGTGCCACAATTGTCGTGTTTTCTAGAAGAGACTGTAATCAGGAAAGGGAGGGAACATTTGTGGTCATTTAGTTAGACATTAAGCATAGTAAGTTAGCTAGCATTGCTAATTTTCCACAGTGCATATTGAATTGCAAAATTGCTTGCACTCTCCCTTCGCAGTGGTGAGGAGGCCATACTATTAGAACCTCAGGGAAATAACTATTTTGGAATTAGTATAATAGTAAGTAATCACCATGAGTTTTAGCGCGTATGTTGGATAGCGCTTTATATTCACAAGAAATATGGCCATCATTATTGGTTCCAGTTCAACGCGATGAAATTGATTCCTCCTTTTTAAATATGTGCTTTTCAGATTTGAAATCCCTGATGGAGACGCTGATAGGCTGAAAACTCCGCGGGATATTTTCCAGTACATTGCTGATCGTGAGGATGTTTATGAATGATCAATAGGCTCAATTTGTTTTGTGTAATTTCGAAGTGTTCCTCGAAGTTAGGAGATGTATTTGATTTCATTCTATATGATTTCGGTGTAGAGATCAGATTACGGTAGCGCTACATTGTATACGACTATAGTTTTTAGCGGAGTGTTTCATATGATTGCACATGAAACTTTGGTTTTTGTTAGCTATTAGTATGTAACTGAACGCTTTGTCACGTTCTCATAGTTCAATAGAAAGTTTGTTTTTCGTTGTTTCAGGAAGTAAGTGAACATAAATGTCGCTGTATATGTTTTTAGTTATTAGTGGCGTCCTACATGACCTATTTCTCTGAAAAGTTGCCTGTTTCTCAGTTATGTTTCAGAGTGTGGAAATCTGCTTTTCTGCTGCTTTTTTTAAGTACTTTGCTTTCAATTGACCCGATTTTCTGAGTCGTGTTTTCTGCACCTTCGGGCCGTGCACTGCTTTCTCTCTGTTACTACACTTCTTTCATTTTTCGGCAGTATAGTCACATAATGTTGACCCGTTTACAATAGTATCTGCACTCCCTCTCACATCGATTCACTTTGCACTGACATCCCGTTGCTCTGCCTTCGCTCACATGATCCTTGGTTGTTGTGAGTTCTGCTGGTCGATCCCTTCTTTTGATTATTGACACGTTTCCGTTTAGAAGTTTATTATATCCAATATCCTTGCAGTTATTTTTATCTATCCTTACCTTGTGCCCTCTCTTTTTCCTCTGGTTGCAGTTTTGCTCACGAAGGTAGTGATCTCGCCTCTTTTCTTCTGTTTTTTTTTCGAATCCGTTTCTCTGTTGAGGCTCTGGAGTGTTCCTGCGTCGTTCAGCTTGCTTTTCATTCTCACCCCTCTTTCTCTATCTCGTTCTGTGCCAGCGGTGCGTCGTTAGTTTCTTGGTCCTTGCTTTTGGTGGTCTCGTCACCTATTTTTTGTTCTCCCAACTCTTTTGAGAGATGACCACAGCACGCCGGCTTTCATGCGGTAAGGCGCGATCTATTTACAAATTACGTCCCATGTACATTCAACGGAGGTTGGTCGTCTTCCTACGTTGTTGCAAATGTGTTATTGACATGCGCATCATTCGCATCAGGACTCATCTGATTCTATATGACGAGGATGCGCAAATGCAGCAGTGTTTAAAGTTACATCACGCTCGCATCTAGTGTGTAGACGCTGTCTTCGCGTAAGGTAGTCTATACCGCAAGCTCAAGGGTGTCAAAACTTGCTGCTTAAACATATGAAACACAAGGTACGCGGCAGGGTGACGAAGCCTTAATGCTCCGCCACCACGTGTTGCACGCCCAGTGCCCAACTCTGTCACGCGCTGATGATTACGGTTGTTTCTTTCTCGCTGTTTTCACCTCTGAACTGAGTGAACCCATTTTGTTACCTCGTTTCTTCCAATGTATTTGCACAGCCTTTTGGCGCTCGAATCTGATTCTGATAGGTTTAGTTAGATCTACTTTGTGTTTTTTTTAAAAAAAAAAAATAGCCTTTTTCAATTGCGTATTGGTACGGTTATTTCTTCTTTTAATCTTCTTTGAACGGTCACAGGCTACTCTCCCGGATTTGTGATTCGCCGGAGGGTGGAGTACCTTAAGGAGCTTCTAGGACCGCAGTCGCAGCTGAACACTCGAGTCCTTTCAGATGCGGAGGTGATCAAGATGAATCTCCTCAAAAATGAGAAGAAATATGGTGGAGAAGAACCACCAGATAATGTGCCTGTCAATGTATGTTATGCTATCATATATGGAGGTTCGATAATCGTGCCGGACGAGAGGAGCTCCAGCCATATTTATACGCATGTGGGTTTCAAGCTTTGATGAAACTTCCCTGGTGATTGTCGATTGATACTGCTTTTCAATTCTAGGGTTATTATGGATGTTACTTAAATGAGCGAATTGATCGAATCAATCATAGACTTTTGCTGGAGAAAGCAGATGAGAGTGATAACATCGTAAAACGGCTCAATGACCCGGAAGGAGTGTGGAGGCACGGGTGCAGTTATCTGCAAATTTCAAGCCTTCTCCGTTTCTGCCTTAGAGTTTCTAAGTGTTCTGTTAGATAGGAAACCCAAACACTCATGACCGGGTCTTTATTCTCAGTCCTGAAGAGACCATTTTTTCTTATCAATCGATATGAATGTGTTGGTGGTATCTGAGAACAAGAAGGAACTCACCCCAGGTAAGGTTTACTGAAATTTTGGTGCTACTAGAGAAGATTGCGAGCTGACGCGACGAAAAAATCCGCCTGCAGCTTCCCGAGACTGCTTCCATACTTTGCGATCCTATGGCATGATGCAATCGCCACTGCAATCCAAGTGATCGGATCGCAAAGTAGGAATGCGGTTTGGGACGAGAACGTCCTGCACTTTCCTGATGTTGTGCCTCGAAATGAGGAAGGACAACCCTTCGTCGCAGCTACCGAACGGCTTCTTAAGCAGCGTTCACACTTCGCGATTAGGCGAGCTCTAATTTGCACTTTTCGAGAAATGGCCCGTTAAACAGTATAGTATAGTATAGTTGGATCTGGCGACATAAGAGAAGCGGAGACTCCGCGTTTTTGATACCTTGAGAGAATGCGCTCGGATAAGTGGGAAATCGACCAAGTGCGCATTCTCCCAATTAAGTGGTTGTCCTACTCTCTCCAGTCTAGGGAAGTTCAGCGACTGCAGTCAATCAATCCCCATCCACTTCTTTGGCGTACTTTCTCCTGCAACATCGAATTGTCACTTCTCCTCCCAAGTCGCAAAGTATAAACGTGGCCTCAACTTTAGTAGCATGTGAATTCCCACTGGTGCGACAGTATTCTCAAAATTCCTTGGTTTCAGAGGAGTTGTGGTTGCGAATGAAAGATCTTGGTGGTTCTTCGTTCGTAAGAAGATACGTACTCTATCGGTATCTTCGAAATAATGGATGGTGTGTCCGCTCTGGACTTCCATATGGCTGTGAATATTGTGAGTGTGTAAATGCTGCACATGTACACCTTAACTGTTTGAGTCCGAAGTCGAGCACTGAGTGAGAAAAAGGCTTTTTTCTGCAGTGATTTATCAAGGAAGTCCTGAGGCACATCATGCAGCTGCTGGTGTAAAGATGGAATCTCAGATGGATGCATGCACTTTCATTGGTTTCAATCGAACATTAACCAATATGAGAAAGGTAAGGTTTCCAGCGTATTTTCCTCTGTGTTGAATCACCATTTTCGCTTAATTTAGGCCCTTGTAATTGTGACACCATTGGTGCCAGAAGGCTTGAACACCAATGACCATAGATGCGCTGAATCAATTCAGCTTTCTGTGAGTCAATTTCTTGTTGAATTAAAAACTTGGGTAGTGCGCGATGTTTTTTTTCCGATTTTCGTGGTGGTTTAGAATACAATCTCAGTTGAAGCTTTCAGTAATGGTTGTAAATTTATCTCGCCCGTGTTGAGTGGACTGCGTGCCTTCTCCACTTCTTGCTTCCTCATTTGGCATAGAAAGGGCCGTGAAGCAGCTAATAATAATAATAATAATAATAATAATAATAATAATAATAAATAATAATAATAATAATAATAATAATAATAATAATAATAATAATAATAATAAATAATAATATAATAATAATAATAATAATAATAATAATAATAATAATAATATAATAATAATAATAACAACGTTGATTCGTGGCTTTGACCAATCGTACGGCGCTTTCAAGATTGATCGGACGTCAGTGTTGTCAAAAGGGATATCAGCAGAAAATGGGTCACGTTCCCTCGGTTCGTCTTGCGCCTTCTTTACAGTTTCCAGTTTTAGTCTTTTTTCCACAACAATTTCTGGTTGGGAAGGCTTACAGAAACTTAGTTGCTGGAAGGTGGCAACTCTAATGTGCACCAGGAAACCTTTGATGTTTCCAGAAGTATGACTTGGACGGAATCTTCTTCAATCTGACATATCTTCTTTAGCGGCACATTCTGCGATTAACTAATATGTAGAATTACTTTCCTGTGCAAGTGGTGAGATATGCAACCTCAGAGGTTGTCCCTCTTTCCCGGCTCGACTGTGAGTGACCAGGGTGCTGCGGTCAAGCTAAGCTGGAAGAACGCTGCAGATGAAGATGCCCCGTCGTCTGGTTAGGTGCGCCAGCGAGCCTATATCATTAGATAGACACGTAAACGCGTTGCGTTCACCAGGTAACGGACCGATCTTATCGTCTCGCTCGTCTTCCTGTTCTCTCATCATTTGTCTCTGCTCTCCCTCACCAGCGCAACAGTGTTTTGTTTCCTCGCAAACCTGTCTCTACTGGGTCCTTATGCTTCCACATTTCTAATTTATTTCAGTAGTAAAAAACAGTGGCATCTTATTCCTATTTGGATCTCACAGCTTCTCGACTAGCGAAATGTGTCCTATTGTTATAGTGCGTTTGAAATGGGGTTCTTTCTAGAAATCAGGAACAAAGTTGGAGATGAAGTTTCAGGGCGCCATATATTATCTAGCTGCGGACAGCTTGAACGTGATCCCTTCAACCGCGTCGATTTCCTGTTTTCTCTGCACTTCCTGGGCTTGTACAGCATTTTACGGTCATTGTGAAACACGTTCCTGCTTTTCACATATGATGTGGCTCCGTCGCTCCACACGTTGCCTATGGTCAAACTGGCTTGATCTAGAAGGGAGAAAAGGGAGACCTACTGTGATGGTCAACGTATTTGGCCTATTTTTGCAGCCTAGTCGCGTATTTTGAGGATTGAAGCGCTGCAGGACCCAGTGAACTTCCATACTTCCTTACTGAAAAGTGCAAAACTCCATTCACAAAAAAGTAGGCGGAATCATCTCGCTTAAGTATGCTATTATTAGATGTCTACGTCAACGTCCATGTTTGTGGAGCGAAAGATGAATGAGATAAAGAAGAAAGAGGTGGAGGAATACATGCGAGGCCTTAAAAGGAAAGCAGAAGAGTAATTTTGTTGTTTGGACCGATCGTTAATTGTTGTTGTTATTGTTAATTTTGTTTTCCTGTGTACAGAGTTTTTAGAAATAAAATTTTTCTGAGCGTTGAGTGAGTGTTGAACTATGATCGGCATTATCCAGATTCGGCATTTGTCCATGGGTGCTGCTCACCACATGCGTAGGGCTGGGGTTCGAGTCCCGACTCCTATCCAGCATAGCCGTAGTAATGGTCCCATTCACTCCGGCTACCATACTTGTCTGCTAGTGGAAGTTTAAAAAAGAATATGACACAAGAAATGATTGAGTCTTACAGAAGTAACCACAGGTTGGGACACGACTTCGCAACTCACGCTTTCAGTCCGGTGGGGGAGGAGTTGTCTCCTCCCCCGTCGGAGTGATGCCGTCTGAACGAGCTTAGTTTTGGCTACTGGCGGCTCATTTGTAAAATGCCTAGATCACGAAATCCGCCGAAAACTTGTACCCAGGGATTATTTAACATCCTGGATACGAATATGACATTCATTCTTGCCGCTGGCGCTAATGGAGGACACTGCGGTGGTTTCCGCCCTGCTAAGGCTGAGCTTAGAATGAAGGGAATCACTCCTCATACCAGGCTCAGTCCCGGCCTTGAGGGGTGGGGAAGTGAAGTCACCGAGGAGTTGCTGCTGTAAATTACGGTCACAACACTTCCACAATACCGCCCAGCACCAAAAATGAGGCGCATCCAACACGGTATCAGTCCACCGGATCGAGGCCGTCTTCCTACTCTGGACTCTATGTGGCTAACGCTACAAAATCAGGGCACTGTCCTACCATTGCGTTTGTCTCCAGCGTATATCAAAAATTGATATAAGTATAGTTGCTGTACTATAGCGCACCACCAAAAATCAACCACACGAAGCGCACGAATACTTTACCTCAAAACTTGGGTAATTAAACAAGCATTGTAAAAAACAGTATACCCATAATCAGCCGGATACAGTATCAAATGTAAATCAATGTAAAGCAATGTAAAGCATCAATCGCCATGAGATGAGAAAAATGAAAAGGCACAATAATATCAAGGCATGGAATGAGCAAGATCAGCAGTGCGCGTTCCTTTATTCAGGCCCCGCCATCTGGACAGCTTTTTGTCCCCCCTAGAGGAATTCACACGTGACCCGGTCTTATGCCTTGGTACGCTGCGTTCTGTTGCTTGTCATTATTTCTTCTTGCTCATCATCTTTGTTTCCATTCTCGCTTCTCCTTTTGCTCTCGTGACCCGGGCGCGCTTGATTTTCTACAAAGGAATGCGCACAAGACCACAAGGATACTGTGTATGTAACTTCAAAGTAAAATCGCGTGAAGTCGCGATACTCCCCGGCGCCTCTCAGCGCTGGTCCCAGAACAGGCGCAGCCTCCCTTTTCGCCCAATAAGTGCAAACGTGTCAGGGCCTCCCACCGCGCTTCACTCGCCTCACCGATTCTCCTTCGGATTTCGTCGCTTCTCTCCGGCAGATCGCAGAGGGCGGAGTGGTGGCCGACCTTCTGACAGTGGAAACATAGCGTCAAATATTTAGGGCAGTGCTCGTCCTGGGTGCAACGTTCTTCCAGGCAGTACCGACATTTGTCCTGCGCTAGAATCATCTCCCGATCGATCACAGCTGTGACCACTGCGCATGAGTCGGAGTAGTGCTGGCCTACGGCTCTGCAGAACGCACAGCGCATGTATCGCTCTTGATGACGATTAATTCTTCCACGATCCGCTCTTCTTGGAGGGCACACCTTTTCATGCCCGAGCTGCCTTAGTATGTCATCCAAGTTGAAGAGGGCCTGCTGCGCGTTTTCTGATTTCATTCTCGATTCTGCGCAATCGGACCTCGGGGGGCTCCACAGCCTCGGGCTCTTCTTCTTCCGGGTCTTCGGCGCCAAGTTGCACGTTATTGTCGGCTACGTCTTCTTGCCTTTCCTCCTGAGCCTGGTGGCTTCCTGCCTATCACCGCTCATCTTCCCTCGCCGGATTCTTCATCCTCCGCTAGTTCTGGTGGAGGGACTTCTTCTTCTTCTTCGGGGTCCATTTGCGCATCTTCCTCTTCCTTGATCCCCTCAGCGAACTCAGAGTTCTCTTTTATAATGCGCAACTCCCTATGCTCGAGGCCTCCGGGGCTCTCCGCCCGCGAGCTGTCTCGCTGCTCAGAGATCTTATGGAGAACTTCTTCTCGAGTATCGATCACGATTTGCTGCAGACGTTCTATTGCGGCGCGGATTTCCTTTTCGAAGACGGTCTCGTTTTCTAGCTCTTCCGTCAGGAAATTCCTGTAGAGATCATGGATAACTGTCCTGATGGAGGCTATGTTTTGCAGCTGGTCGCTCGCGAGCTTCTCGATCGTCTCCAGCTTTACCGGAAGGGTCTTCCCATCGTTTCCTTTATGGGGCGCATTGATGAGGAGGTCCCATTCCTGGTCGCTCATCCGGTCCGTTGCGACGAGTAGTGGAGGCACAGCATAAAGGGTTCGCAACTGGGATCTCACGTGGACAAACCTCGCACGCAAATAATCAGCATATAAATCAAGGTATTGCGCTTCGTGCTTCCTATCAGAGAGAGATGCCTGTAAGGAACGAAGAGCTTTCAAGCGCGTCTCTAGTGTATCAACAGCAGAGATACAATCACGTAGTTCAAGAGCATGCCGAAAGATCGCTTCATGAAGATCTTCTTTACTCGGGAGAGGCGGCAGTGCTTCTAGGAGATCGCGCAGCTGTTCTTCTAGTGTACGTTCATTGTGCATGGGTTCCATGTTCTGCAATAGTAGTCATAGTACATCGAACATGTGATAAATGTGATCGCATAGAAAAAAATATATGTAGTGCTTCAAGGGTATGTAAGTTTAATTATTGCCTATAGATATGTGTATTTTTGATGGTACGAATTCTAGTGATAAGGATGTTTCTAAAATAATTTTCTACTTTGCTGAAGAAACGTCCTAACAGTTGAAGTTTAAGCGGTCTTTTTTGCCGTTTCTCGCCCTTTCGTTGGCCGGCATTTTATATTGTGGAGTAGAAAGCGTGAGGTGCGCACTGGTAGGGTGAGAATCGCCCCGAACACGCTCAAGGTGACATTGAGCAGGCGCAGTCCCATAGTATTGACTAAGAGGTAGGTTATACCCAGAAACACTACTACTGCTAATGATGTTATAAGGAGGATCTTGTACCAGCCAAATATAATGTCCTTTATATGACCAAAATCTGGCCATTGAAAGTCGTTGTACACAGTAGTGTTGCCTTCCAGCAAAGAATATGTAGGATAATTGAAATAACTAACGTATTTCAAAACTCCACTCACCCTAAAGGTGTTCTTTACCTGGCCACATGTTATTGTGCATTCAAAAAGGTGGCGTGCTGAGTCCAAGTGGAAGTGTAGAGTTGTTTCAGGTCCTTCGGGGGCGCACGATACCACAAACGAATGATGCGCACAAAGAATTTCTCCAAAGGTGTCTTCTTCAGCAATGCAGCGCACAATTGCCACTGCGCCTTTTGGACAGTTATAGCACCCTTTTAATGGGGCATCCGCCACGATACAATTATGATTACTGATTTCTAAATGCGCGGCATCCATATTGGTGTGGAAGTTGATCACGATTTCCGAAGAAACCATTTGGGGTATTTTCGCGGTTAGTGGGGCTTCTTTTGGTTTGGATAGTTCCCAGTATGCAGTTTTAATGGGTAATTTTTGCTGAATCTGATCAAATTCTTTGGCAATGTCGGGATCCTCGCATTCGCATATTACCTTAAATTCCGCGGGAGTGCAGACGCAGTTTTCCTTGAAGGTGCAGTTCAGCGCTTCCGCGTCCATTCGCGACGCACACTTAAGAGTCGGGGTTAGACTCTGGGTCAGAATGGCGGTATCGACTCCATCGGTGACAAATTCGCTATTTAGCTTTGGTATGGGAGGAAGTGTTAGCAATGTCATAGTCATGCGCAAGAAGGGAAGATCCAAGGGGACGTTGGGATAGGCTTCAAGAAGATAATGCGACGAGTTCTTTGTAGGAACCTCGTCGAATATTACTTCTAGCTGTGCCGCTTCTGTCCAGCGCATGCAGCGGAACACTTCAAAGACCTTTGGGTTACGTGGTCTGGCGAATATCCTATAGAACAGGCAACCTGAACTCAGGTAAAAGCAGTCACACCCGAATCCCCCACAAGACTCAAAGCATCTGGTCTTGCCCGGGTAAAGATTGCCTTCTGCTAGTTCAGGTAAAAGTGATGAGGTGTTTATACCTGCGCACTTCTGTTCTGTGCATGATCCCATAGTGGGGCATCTTTTGCTGTCAACGACTTCCAGACTGGTCGAACGTGTAAAGTACAAGGTTTCTTGCTCGCATCTCAGGTGTAGGTCTTTCCAATGGACCTTTAGGTTCGCTACCAGGGTCGAATTCGAAATCAGACGGAGGCATGCCTCATGCTTGAAACTGTTTAGTTTCAATACTTCTGAGAGCGTAATGGAGCATGGTTGGTTGGGGTTATTTCTTGCGCACTTAGTAGCCCGGTATTCGAGGATATCTAGCTCTTGACACGCGAGGGCTTTCAAATGACCCTGCGTCAAGAGTGCAATCGAGACGGCTAGCGCAAGGGTGAGACGTGCAGTGACTGACTGTTTTCTTGCGCCTTCTCAATCGGCGTAGTATGCGTAGGCAGCTCTCTCCTATGCATGCCAGCGAATGCACTACAAGGTACTTCAGGGAATTAAGGATAATCCGTATCGGTTTCCCGATGGTCATGGGTACATATAGTAGCACGTATAGAAATGCTACTATGAAATACAATATTACCCCAAGTGTAACAATTGCGCCGAGTGGCCAGCATTCCGGATTGAAAAGAACTGTGGCGCAAATTTTACAGTCTATGTTCTCGCAGAAGTCCATGGCCTTGCACACTGTTTGCATTACAGCCAGCTGTCCTCCCGTATTCCACTTGAGGAGTACTTCGTAATCATGTAATGTGATTTCTGGGGGAAATTTTACAGAATGAGGGCTAAT